TCCAACATTTTCTGTAATTTGATTCGGTTCTAGTTCGGTTCTAGTTCGGTTCTAGTTCAGTTCTAATTCACTTCTAGTTCAGTTCTAGTTCAGTTCTAGTTCAGTTCTAATTCAGTTCTAGTTCAGTTCTAGTTCAGTTCTAGTTCAGTTCTAGTTCAGTTCTAGTTCAGTTCTAGTTCAGTTCTAGTTCAGTTCTAGTTCAGTTCTAGTTCAGTTCTAGTTCAGTTCTAGTTCAGTTCTAGTTCAGTTCTAGTTCAGTTCTAGTTCAGTTCTAGTTCAGTTCTAATTCAGTTCTAGTTCAATTCTAGTTCAGTTCTAGTTCAGTTCTAGTTCAGTTCTAGTTCTGTTCTAGTTCAGTTCTAGTTCAATTCTAGTTCAGTTCTAGTTCAGTTCTAGTTCATTTCTAGTTCAGTTCTAGTTCAGTTCTAGTTCAGTTCTAGTTCAGTTCTAGTTCAGTTTCTAGTTCAGTTCTAGTTCAGTTCTAGTTCAGTTCTAGTTCAGTTCTAGTTCAGTTCTAGTTCAGTTCTAGTTCAGTTCTAGTTCAGTTCTAGTTCAGTTCTAGTTCAGTTCAAATTCAGTTCTAGTTCAGTTCTAGTTCAGTTCTAGTTCAGTTCTAGTTCAGTTCTAGTTCAGTTCTAGTTCAGTTCTAGTTCAGTTCTAGTTCAGTTCTAGTTCAGTTCTAGTTCAGTTCAAGTTCAAATCTAGCTCATTTCTAGTTTAGTTCCCGTTTAGTTAAATTTCAGTTCTTTTTCAGTTCTCGTTCGGTTCTAGTTCAGTTCTAGTTCAGTTGCGGTTCAGTTCTAATTCAATTCTAAATCAGTTCTAGTTCAGTTCTAGTTCAGATCTAGTTCAGTTCTAGTTCAGTTCTAGTTCAGTTCTAGTACAGTTCTAGTTCAGTTCTAGTTCAGTTCTAGTTCAGTTTTAGTTCAGTTCTAGTTCAGTTCTAGTTCAGTTCTAGTTCAGTTCTAGTTCAGTTCTAGTTCAGTTCTAGTTCAGTTCTAGTTCAGTTCTAGTTCAGTTCTAGTTCAGTTCTAGTTCAGTTCTAGTTCAGTTTCAGTTCAGTTCTAGTTCAGTTCTAGTTCAGTTCAAGTTCAACTCTAGCTCATTTCTAGTTTAGTTCCCGTTTAGTTAAATTTCAGTTCTTGTTCAGTTCTCGTTCGATTCTAGTTCAGTTATAGTTCAGATGCGGTTCAGTTCTAGGTGAGTTCTAATTCAGTTCTAGTACAGTTCTAGTTCAGTCCCTTTCCGATTCAGTTCTAGTTCAGTTGTAGTTCAGTTCTGTTCCGATTCAGTTCTAGTTTAGTTCCTGCTCAGTTCTAGTTCAATTCTAGCTAAATTCTAGTTCAGTTCTAGTTCATTTCTAGTTCAATTCTTGTTCAATTCGTAGTTCAGTTCTAGTCTAGTTCTAGTTCAGTTCTAGTTCAGTTCTAGTTCAGTTCAAGTTCAGTTCAAGTTCAGTTCTAGTTCAGTTCTAGTTAGTTCTAGTTCTTAGTTCAGTTCTAGTTCAGTTCTAGTTCAGTTCTAGTTCAGTTCTAGTTCAGTTCTAGTTCAGTTCTAGTTCAGTTCTAGTTCAGTTCTAGTTCAGTTCTAGTTCAGTTCTAGTTCAGTTCTAGTTCAGTTCTAGTTCAGTTCTAGTTCAGTTCTAGTTCAGTTCTAGTTCAGTTCTAGTTCAGTTCTAGTTCAGTTCTAGTTCAGTTCTAGTTCAGTTCTAGTTCAGTTCTAGTTCAGTTCTAGTTCAGTTCTAGTTCAGTTCTAGTTCAGTTCTAGTTCAGTTCTAGTTCAGTTCTAGTTCAGTTCTAGTTCAGTTCTAATTCTGTTCTAGTTCAGTTTCTAGTTCAGTTTTAGTTCAGTTCTAGTTCAGTTCTAATTCTGTTCTGGTTCAGTTCTAGTTCATTTCTAGTTCAGTTCTAGTTCAGTTCTAGTTCATTTCTAGTTCAGTTCTAGTTCAGTTCTAGTTCAGTTCTAGTTCAGTTCTAGTTCAGTTCTAGTTCAGTTCTAGTTCAGTTCTAGTTCAGTTCTAGTTCAGTTCTAGTTCAGTTCTAGTTCAGTTCTAGTTCAGTTCTAGTTCAGTTCTAGTTCAGTTCTAGTTCAGTTCTAGTTCAGTTCTAGTTCAGTTCAAGTTCAAATCTAGATCATTTCTAGTTTAGTTCCCGTTTAGTTAAATTTCAGTTCTTGTTCAGTTCTCGTTCGGTTCTAGTTCAGTTCTAGTTCAGTTGCGGTTCAGTTCTAGTTGAGTTCTAATTCAGTTCTAGTTTAGTTCTAGTTCAGTTCTAGTTCAGATCTAGTTCAGTTCTAGTTCAGTTCTAGTACAGTTCTAGTTCAGTTCTAGTCCAGTTCTAGTTCAGTTTTAGTTCAGTTCTAGTTCAGTTGTAGTTCAGTTGTAGTTCAGTTCTAGTTCAGTTCTAGTTCAGTTCTAGTTCAGTTCTAGTTCAGTTCCAGTGCAGTTCTAGTTCAGTTCTAGTTCAGTTCAAGTTCAACTCTAGCTCATTTCTAGTTTAGTTCCCGTTTAGTTAAATTTCAGTTCTTGTTCAGTTCTCGTTCGGTTCTAGTTCAGTTCTAGTTCAGATGCGGTTCAGTTCTAGTTGAGTTCTACTTCAGTTCTAATTCAGTTCTAGTTCAGTTCTAGTTCAGTTCTAGTTCAGTTCTAGTTCAGTTCTAGTTCAGTTCTAGTTCAGTTCTAGTTCAGTTATAGTTCAGTTATAGTTCAGTTATAGTTCAGTTCTAGTTCAGTTCTAGTTCAGTTCTAGTTCAGTTATAGTTCAGTTCTAGTTCAGTTCTAGTTCATTTCTAGTTCAATTCTTGTTCAATTTGTAGTTCAGTTCTAGTCTAGTTCTAGTTCAGTTCTAGTTCAGTTCTAGTTCAGTTCTAGTTCAGTTCTAGTTCAGTTCTAGTTCAGTTCTAGTTCAGTTCTAGTTCAGTTCTAGTTCAGTTCTAGTTCAGTTCTAGTTCTAGTTCAGTTCTAGTTCTAGTTCAGTTCTAGTTCTAGTTCAGTTCTAGTTCAGTTCTAGTTCAGTTCTAGTTCAAGTTCTAGTTCAGTTCTAGTTCAGTTCTAGTTCAGTTCTAGTTCAGTTCTAGTTCAGTTCTAGTTCAGTTCTAGTTCAGTTCTAGTTCTAGTTCAGTTCTAGTTCAGTTCTAGTTCAGTTCTAGTTCAGTTCTAGTTCAGTTCTAGTTCAGTTCTAGTTCAGTTCTAGTTCAGTTCTAGTTCAGTTCTAGTTCAGTTCTAGTTCAGTTCTAGTTCAGTTCTAGTTCAGTTCTAGTTCAGTTCTAGTTCAGTTCTAGTTCAGTTCTAGTTCAGTTCTAGTTCAGTTCTAGTTCAGTTCTAGTTCAGTTCTAGTTCATCTCTAGTTCAGTTCTAGTTCAGTTCTAGTTCAGTTCTAGTTCAGTTCTAGTTCAGTTCTAGTTCAGTTCTAGTTCAGTTCTAGTTCAGTTCTAGTTCAGTTCTAGTTCAGTTCTAGTTCAGTTCTAGTTCAATTCTAGTTCAGTTCTAGTTCAGTTCTAGTTTTAGTTCGGTTTTAGTTCGGTTCTAGTTCTGTTTTAGTACTAGTTCAGTTCTAGTTCAATTCTAGTTCAGTTCTAGTTCAGTTCTAGTTCAGTTCTAGTTCAGTTCTAGTTCAGTTCTAGTTCAGTTCTAGTTCAGTTCAGTTCTAGTTCAGATCTAGTTCAGTTCTAGTTCAGTTCTAGTACAGTTCTAGTTCAGTTCTAGTACAGTTCTAGTTCAGTTTTAGTTCAGTTCTAGTTCAGTTCTAGTTCAGTTCTAGTTCAGTTCTAGTTCAGTTCTAGTTCAGTTCTAGTTCAGTTCTAGTTCCGTTCTAGTTCAGTTCTAGTTCAGTTCTAATTCAGTTCTAGTTCAATTCTAGTTCAGTTCTAGTTCAGTTCTAGTTCAGTTCTAGTTCAGTTCTAGTTCAGTTCAGTTCTAGTTCAGTTCTAGTTCAGTTCTAGTTCAGTTCTAGTTCAGTTCTAGTACAGTTCTAGTACAGTTCTAGTTCAGTTCTAGTTCAGTTCTAGTTCAGTTCTAGTTCAGTTCTTGTTCAGTTTTAGTTCAGTTCTAGTTCAGTTCTAGTTCAGTTCCAGTTCAGTTCTAGTTCAGTTCTAGTTCAGTTCTAGTTCAGTTCTAGTTCAGTTCTAGTTCAGTTCTAGTTCAGTTCTAGTTCAGTTCTAGTTCAGTTCTAGTTCAGTTCTAGTTCAGTTCTAGTTCAGTTCAAGTTCAACTCTAGCTCATTTCTACTTTAGTTCCCGTTTAGTTAAATTTCAGTTCTTGTTCAGTTCTCGTTCGGTTCTAGTTCAAATGCGGTTCAGTTTTAGTTCAGATGCGGTTCATTTCTAGTAAAGTTCTAGTTCAGTTCTAGTTCTAGTTCAGTTCTAGTTCAGTTCTAGTTCAGTTCTAGTTCAGTTCTAGTTCTAGTTCAGTTCTAGTTCAGTTCTAGTTCAGTTCTAGTACAATTCTAGTTCAGTTTTAGTTCAGTTCTAGTTCAGTTTTAGTTCAGTTCTAGTTCAGTTCTAGTTCAGTTCTAGTTCAATTCTAGTTCAGTTCTAGTTCCGTTCTAGTTCAGTTCTAGTTCAGTTCTAGTTTTGTTCTAGTTCAGTTCTAGTTCAGTTCTAGTTCAGTTCTAGTTCAGTTCTAGTTCAATTCTAGTTCAGTTCTAGTTCAGTTCTAGTTCAGTTCTAGTTCAGTTCTAGTTCAGTACTAGTTCAGTTCTAGTTCAGTTCTAGTTCAGTTCTAGTTCAGTTCTAGTTCAGTTCTAGTTCAGTTCTAGTTCAGTTCTAGTTCAGTTCTAGTTCAGTTCTAGTTTACTTCTAGTTCAGTTCAAGTTCTACTTTAGTTCTTATTTAGTTCTATTTTATTTCTAAATCAGTTCTAGATCAGTTCTGGTAGAATTCTTGTTCAGTTCTCGTTCACTAATTCAAAGTTTAAAATTTTTCACCAAAGTTTAAAAAAATTTTGAATAATTTGAACTAGCCAGTTTTTATAAAAAAATTTTCCCTTTCATTTCCCAATTAAGATTTTCCTCACATTCGAGTATTTAAATCAAAATTTTATACTTTCAAATTTCTTTGAACGAAATTTAAATTTGTTAAAAATTCAATTGGAATAAGTTTTTTAAATAAAATTTTTACAAAATAAAAACACTCGATACATGGGCTTCAGCTATCAGGTGAAAAGTGTAAAAAGTAAGAAAATTTACCAAAGAAATAAAATTTTAAATTAAAACCAAATTTTCTGCCAGAAAAAAGCATCATTTTGGATAAACAAGAAAATCTGGAAATACAACAAAATTCCTCTAGATATCGACAAAGTAAACGAACTATAACCAAGGAAAGAGTTTATGGGTTAAAAGGAGAACAAGGCAAAGCTAGAGAGCAGCAAAATTCTAAATCAAATGTAGACTTATTTAGACATAAAGAGAGTAAGGGTCTTCATAATTCCGAATCGAAATTAGAGGTCTCTGGGGAAAGTAATGGTGCAGCTAAAAAACTTTTAGAAACTTTACATTCCGGCAAGCAGCAACAAGAGGACGTTATAGAAAAGGTCTTAGACACTTCTCAGCAATTGTACCATTTAGAGGCGACCATTAATCATGAAATTAAAAAGTTAAAACAGCAACGAAGACTTTTGAAAGGCGACAGTTTTAGTATGGATGAAAAGTCGAATAAAAGAAAGGGAAATGAAGCCAGAAAAACGAGTACTTGGGCGGACTATTTGGGGGATAATAATTCTAAAGAAAGACAGAGAAACCCGGAAGAAATAGCAAAGGAAAAGTATTCCCTACAACATCAATGTGTTTGTACTTCGCCACGTTATGGTAGCGATAAGAATTTGTCTCTTCGTCCCCGTATGCGTAGTGTAGCTTCTCAAATACACACACAAGAAGAATTCTTAGATCAGGGAGCTGTAGGAGATTATAGTTCCAATGCCAACTTGAAACCGTTTAAGGATCAAGAAGTTTCAAATTGGAAGGGGATTGCAAAGTGTTCGGATACGCAAATTCCTAAAGCAAATGATCAAATTGTGAATTGTTGTTATGGCTTAGTGTATCCGGCTGCTTGCCAGCAAACTCTCAAGACCTCAACCGACACAAATGGCCAAAGATGTCGGCATTATAGTTGCCAACAGAATGAGGTTAATGGTAATCGGGCATATACCTATTGCCGGGATGAATACTATTACAATTTGCCAAATTATAGTTTTAACGAAGCATCAACAACTGGTGCAAATCCCCAACAATATAGAAGACACAATACCGATCTTAATACCCAAGAATTCTATTGTCGACGACCAGATAAATCTTCCAAATCCCGCTCTAATTCTAAAACCAACAAGAAATCTAAACTAGGCAAAAGCAAAGAATCTCTAGATGATTATAATGCCAATAAAAAGAGAGCTTGTCGAGAGAAAAGAGAAAAACAACAACGCAGCAAATCGGTAGAACAGAGATTAAGGAAAAATGGAAAACTTGCTCAGTTGCTGAGTGAAGAAAGTGTCACAAAATTAATCAAATATCTAGATCGTTATGTGGATGATTATCAAAAGGAGTTTGAGTTCGAAAATAACAAAGAAACTAAGACCAAAGAAGACTCTGAAGAATCCTCAACAGTCCCAACGTTAAAAATAAAAAGTCACACTAATCTTTGTCAAGTAACAGTAAGAAAAAAGCTGGAGCAAAACAAACACCCGGCCAATTTAACAGATTGTGGTGATAGCAACTCTTTGGAAACCCAATATTCTTGGGAAACTTTGAGAATGTTAAAGAAAATGACTATAAGAGAATATAAGCCACCTTTAAAAGTTAAAGAGCAAAGGGAACCAACCGAAGCAAAACATGATAAAGAAGTAGACACTAAAAAGCTTCAGAAAGCTCAAAGATATCGTGAGTATTTGGATAAATTTGAAAGAGAACTACAGGCTAAGAAAAGCATACAAGTTTTAAAACCTCCACCTGAAAATTTCCCCGAACCAGACAGTGAGGAAGTGGAGATATTTAAACAGCTAAAGAAAGATCAAACAGAACCTAAAAGAAGTCCAATTGATACCAGCGATCAATGGGAGCTTTTGGGAGAAACAAATATTAATTCTAGTTTAATTAATAAAGCCAACTTCTCGTTTGATCAAGGTGCAACAAATCACTTTCCCGAAAGTGATAGTTATGAGGAGTTAAGGTATGAATATGGAGCTGCTGCCAGGGGAGAAGATAGTTGGCTAGATTACAATAAATCTAAAGATCAAGTTGAACAAGCAAAATACGATCAAGATTTGAAAGAAACAAAAGGAGATATAAATTATCAAGATAACTGCCAGGAAAGGGAAGGAAGAAGTCGACGAAGAGAAGGAAGAGAAACTAGATTAAGAGATCATCAAGCAGAAGATCAAAGATCTCAAAAGACAGCTAAACAAAAAGACTGCTGGAATTATAGAAAATCTAGAGATAGGGAAAGAAGAGATGAAGATCCCTCAGCAAGATCAGCAGAAATACTGGTTAGAGACTTCAAAGAACGAGTAGCAGAAGATCAACGAGCTCAAAGGGCGCATAAACCAAAAGACTGCTGGACTTATAGAAAATCTAGAGATAAAGAAAGTAGAGATCAAGATCTAACAGCAAGATCATCTGCTATACGCGACACAGTCTTTAAAGAAAGAGAAGCAGAAGATCATAGCTCTAAAATAGAGGATAAACCAAAAGACTTCTGTTCCACTTATAGAAAATCAAGAGAAAGAGCAAGAAAGGCGGAATATCAGGAAGTAAAATCATCTGCAATACCCTACACAGACTTTAAAGAAAGAGAAACAGAAGATCAAAGATATGAAAAAGATAACTGTTTATCGTATAGAAAATCTATAGAAAGGGAAAGAAGAGCAGAAGATCCAAGAACAGGGGAAGCAGCTTTAATACCCGACACAGACTTTCAAATATTAAAAACAAATTGTTTCGCAAAAGACTTTGACTTTTATCGGAACTCCAAAGATAGAGAACGAAGAAATGAAGATCAAATTCCACGATATGTTAGAGAGAGAAGAAAAGATCTAAAAGAAGAATTAAAAGAAGGAATTAAAGTTGAAGATGTCTATAATGAAGAAACCTTTAGACCATCCACAGAGAGTCCAAGGATAACTACACAACAAACTTCTAGATATAATGATCAGACAAGAAGAACTTCTAAAGAAGCCAAGCCACAACCAAGCGAATACTTAAGTCGGACAGCTTTGGAAAGGGTTCAAATAGAACCAGAGTGTAGAGAACGGAGGCAACGGAGATCACAAGATCTAAGTTCAAAAAACTTTAAAGACAAAAGAATGGAATCCACTGAAAGTATAAAACACTTTCTTGAACATTTAAATAAGAAAAGTTTTAGAGAGAACAACGCCAAACCATTGAGAGAATCGCAATCAAAAGAAGCAGAAGATGAAGTTTTAAGATCAAGAAAAGTTGAGTTGAATGAAAGAAATCAATCTCTGGAATATGACGACGAAATCTTTGAAGAATTAAGAGCAAAACCAGGAAAATCTAAAGATCAAAACTCTAGAAGATATTGTGAGGATAAAAGAAGAGAATTTGAAGATCAATGTTCTCGGTATTATGAAGTTTCCAAAAGAGATTATAGAGGTGATAGACAAGCTGAAGATAATGAAGAAATTCTGAGTGATTTAAGAGAAATTCCGCGAAAAGCTGAGGATGAAAATTCAAAATATAGAAGAGATTCTAGAGATCAAAGTTGTAAATATTATGAAGATCCACATAGAAGAGATTACGCAGAATATGATGCAGAAGACTTTGATGAATCTACAGCAAAACCGCGAAAAGCTAAAGATCATGGAAGAAATGATTTTAAGGATAAAAGGAGAGTCTCTGAAGATCAGAACAATGATCTCAATGATTATAAAGAGAGAAAAAGAGATTTCTTAGAAGTAAAGCAGTATCCAAAGGAAAGAGATTTGAGAGCATCCGAAATTGAAGCCAAATATGGAGTAGAAAACCCTAAGGAAAGACAGAGGATAGCTAAAGATCAAATTGACACGCCAAATGGTAGAGATTATAAAGCCGAACAAAGAGATCTTCCAGAAGTTGAACTTATAAAAGAAAAAATCGAGAAACACGACGAATTAGATGAAGAGGAACTGCACAAACACCAACATTTGGATTTAGAGGACATTGCAAATAAACCGAAAACTTCTAAGAGATCAAAACGAGTATCTGAGAATAATACAGACGATAAAGAACCCAGGACAACAACTTCCTTGCATAAGGAGTTCCAATTATATCCTCTTAAGCAAGAACCACAAATGCCGGAAGAATTTTCAAATCAACATGAGCAATTTTCTAAAGAACCCGAAAGTTACGTTAAGGAGGATCCCGGAAAAAGAGAAAAGAACTCCAACAGTTCCTCCTATAACGATTTCAAACAAGTTATGGATCATAGTTTGGGACTTTATACCAGTCGAGCTAGTCAAACCGATTATCAATTTAAACCTCAACTAAACGCACAACTTTCCTCACAAACATTTACCAGAGAAAAGGAAACTCCCAATGAAAATCAAAAGGAGTATCAGGAAACTTTAGCACAATCAACTGAATTACCTTTAACAACTTCTGAAGCCTTAAAATATTTGAAAAATTTCCTAACAACCTATCAGGACTCCAATTTAGAAGGGCAATGTGCTGAAGCAGTAACCTTGGCCGCTCAGGAGTTAATAACAAAATTAAGTTCCTGCAAAAGTTCTCTGCAAACTGAGACCAATTCGAGAATGCAACTACAAGAACCGAGAAGTTCTTTACGGGACTCAGCCAGCTTCACAGTAGAACAGAAACTAACACAAGATACACAATTTAAAGATCTGGAAACTACCACAGATAGTAGTGATCCTCAAATTGCAAACGCAATAGCAACAGGTGAAGATTCAAAAACTCTGACAGCTGAAAGTTATAAATCACAAATGGAATGGGCTGTAGGCGCTTTAAAAGAGCAGGCTAAAGAAGATCCCTTAATTGAATTAATAGAACAGGAATCCTATCATTATAAATCACAACCTTGCGATATGGAACAATGGGAATCTATGGAAACTTATCAGAGATATGAAGAGTACAACGATAATTCAGCTAATTTAAGATCACAGCAAGAAAAATATGTAGATCCAAGAGCATCTTGCAATACAACTATTTTGCAAGATAACTCTCATTATATGGAAATGCAGGATCCATTACCATTAAGCTATGGAGAGGACTGCACAGATCCTTGTGTGCAGAGAAAATTTACTTGTGGGTCTTTACCTGGTCCTAACAGACTACATGCTTTTGATCCTCAACTAATGCCTTTGAAGGGAATTTTGAAACCTTGTCGTACAATAGAAGATGCTCAAATGGTCAGCTATGACTTGGAATCTCATAGAACAACTTCGGTGGTTAGTTTTGGGCTAAAAGAAGAGGTCAATACACATACGGAAACAGCAATGTCTTTTAAACAAGCAGATGATGAAGTGGGTAAGAAATTAGACCTGAACAAGAACTGAACTAAGATAGAACTAAAACTGCACTAAGATAGAACTAGAACTGAACTAGAACTGAACTAGAACTGAACTAGAACTGAACTAGAACTGAACTAGAACTGAACTAGAACTGAACTAGAACTGAACTAGAACTGAACTAGAACTGAACTTAGAACTGAACTAGAACTGAACTAGAACTGAACTAGAACTGAACTAGAACTGAACTAGAACTGAACTAGAACTGAACTAGACTGAACTAGAACTGAACTAGAACTGAACTAGAACTGAACTAGAACTGAACTAGAACTGAACTAGAGCTGAACTAGAACTGAACTAGAACTGAACTAGAACTGAACTAGAACTGAACTAGAACTGAACTAGAACTGAACTACATCTAAACTAGAACTGAACTAAAACTGAACTGGAACTGAACTAGAACTGAACTAGAACTGAACTAGAACTGAACTAGAACTGAACTAGAACTGAACTAGAACTGAACTAGAACTGAACTAGAACTGAACTAGAACTGAACTAGAACTGAACTAGAACTGAACTAGAACTGAACTAGAACTGAACTAGAACTGAACTGGAACTGAACTGGAACTGAACTAGAACTAGAACTGAACTAAAACTGAACTAGAACTCAAACTGAACTGTTATACTGACAAATTTTCTATAGAAAAACTATTATACTGTAAATTTTTCTTAAGTAAAACTGTTATACTAATACCATTCTTGAAGAAAAAACTGTAATACTGACAATTTTCTATAGAAAAACTTCTATATTATAAATTTTTCTTAAAAAAGCTGTTATACTGATAACTTTATACTGTATATTGTAAAATTTTCATTCGAAAACTGTTATACTGATAATTTTTCTGTAAAAAAAACTGTTATACTGACAATTTTTCTGTAGGCAATTTAAATTTATTAAAAAATTGTTATACTGACTCTTTTTTATTAAAAAAACTGTTATACTGAAAATGTTTTATTAAAAACTGTTATACTGAAAATTTGTCTATAGGAAAACTATTATACTGAAAAATTTGCTATATAAAAACTGTTATACTGACAATTTTCTATAGAAAAACTATTATACTGCAATTTTTTCTAAAGAAAAACTGTTATAATGATAATTTTTCTATAGAAAACTGTTATGCTGAACATTTTTCTTTAGAAAAACTATTGTTCTCTAAATTTTCCTATAGAAAAACTGTTATACTGACAATTTTTTTAATAGCAGTTCCTCTATTAAACAAAATTTCAGTATGGGAATTTTTCTATAGCAAAACTCTAATACTGAAAAATGTTCTATATAAAAACTCTAATATTAAAATTATTTCTTTGAAAAACATTTATACCATAATTTTTTCATGGAAAACTCTTATAACGAAAACTTTTCTAAAGAAAAACTCTTATACAACAAAAAGATATTTATAGAAAAACTGTTATACTAATAATTTTTATATAAATTTTCAAATTATATAAACGCATGTTCATCACATACCTTTCATCATCAGCTCAACACTGCAATGAAACCCAGCAAACAATTATAACTAAAGATGAGTTACTGCAACAGCCCATAACCCAGCAAACCAAATATCAGCTTACCAAAACTATCAACACCAAACATCCTCTTAATCAAAATAATCAACTAGATGCATCATTATCAGCAAGTGAATCATATTACCGTAATACTTCTTCTCGTCTGTATACTGTAGAATTGGCAAAATTTAAACAATGTCCTTGTATGTTGGATACTTATCTGACAATGTTGAATAACTACTACAAAAGCAAGAAAAATTAAAAAAATAATAATAATTAATAAATGAATTTTAGTTAATGTTTAGTTATTTAAAAGAATTATTTTTAATTGGTTAAACAGTTTTATTTTTCTTACAATAATTTAGAGAATAAAAAGGAATGTTTTCTTAATAAAAATAAAAGAAAATAAATAAAATTAGAAAAAAATATTAAAGAGAAAGACAACTATAAAGTTTGTGTGGGAAAACGTGGACTTTGTTCGCGTGAACGAGCCTGACGAAAACGATCATCGGTAAGATTGTGACGCAGCTCTTGATTTTGTACTTGATATTCGTGGGCGAGTATTTGATGTTGTTCACGTTTTTGTTTCTCTTGAGCTAAATCATTCTGTAAAGGTGTAAATTATGGAAAATAATTCTAATTTTAAAGTTTACTTTTCAAACTTTACCAGTAGTTCCTCATTGGTTTGTCTTAAACGCACTAGTTCTTGACTTAATTTACTATCAACTTTGATTTGTTCTTCCAAATCACGGCGAGTCTTGGCTAATAGCTCTTCTAAGGTTTCGGCTGAAATCAGTTTTCCCTTTTCCGTTTTATCAATTTCCATACGTAGTTTTTCATTTTCGGATTCCAACTATAAGCAAATATTTGTTAAAAAGGAACTTTATTTCTTTATATTACCTACCTTTCTCTTTATGTCATTTAATTCATATAATTCTGCATTTAATTTATCCTTTTCTATATCTAATTTATTGCATAATTCTTTTCGTGCTGTCAAATCAGTTTTTAATAGATGTTGTTCATCTAAACTTTCCTCCAGTTTATGTTCCAAACATGTGGCCTTGGCAGTAAGTGTGGCAATTTTATCTTCCAATTCTGAGATTAAATTATTACGGCAGCATAGTTCTTTTTTAAGGGAAACTATATCAGTTTCCAATTCTACCACTTGTCGTCTGTTTTTAGAAGGAATTTTTGAGAGGTATTTATATGTTTATTATTTTATTCATTTAACTTAATTTAAAAACTAATGGCAGCTAATTTTAATAAAAAAAATTAATTATCAACAATTTGTAAGATTTCTTTAATTCTAAGGCAGCAACAACAATGGCAAGAGCTACAATTACAAAAAGAGTTAAAAGAGAAGGAAAGGAAAGGAAAAGAAAGAGAGATAAAACTAATTGAGATAGATAGTCAATTCAAAACTTATAATACTGTATTTAATCGAACTAGAATTGAATAAGAACTGAACTAGAACTGAACTAGAACTGAATCAGAACTGAACTAGAACTGAACTAGAACTGAACTAGAACTGAACTAGAACTGAACTAGAACTGAACTAGAACTGAACTAGAACTGACTAGAACTGAACTAGAACTGAACTAGAACTGAACTAGAACTGAACTAGAACTGAACTAGAACTGAACTAGAACTGAACTAGAACTGAACTAGAACTGAACTAGAATTAACTAGAACTGAACTAGAACTGAACTAGAACTGAACTAAAACTGAACTAGAACTGAACTAACTGAACTAGAACTGAACTAGAACTGAACGAACTGAACTAGAACTGAACTAGAACTGAACTAGAACTGAACTAGAACTGAACTAGAACTGAACTAGAACTGAACTAGAACTGAACTAGAACTGAACTTGAACTTAAATAGAACTGAACTAGAACTGAACTAGAACTGAACTAGAACTGAACTAGAACTGAACTAGAACTGAACTAGAACTGAACTAGAACTGAACTAGAACTGAACTAGAACTGAACTAGAACTGAACTAGAACTGAACTAGAACTGAACTAGAACTGAACTAGAACTGAACTAGAACTGAACTAGAACTGAACTAGAACTGAACTAGAACTGAACTAGAACTGAACTAGAACTGAACCAGAACTGAACTGAACTAGAACTGAACTAGAACTGAACTAGAACTGAACTAGAACTGAACTAAAACTGAACTAGAACTAGAACTGAACTAGAACTGAACTAGAACTGAACTAGAACTGAACTAGAACTGAACTAGAACTGAACTAGAACTGAACTAGAACTGAACCTAGAACTGAACTAGAACTGAACTAGAACTGAACTAGAACTGAACAGAACTGAACTAGAACTTAACTAGAACTGAACTAGAACTGAACTAGAAATGAACTAGACTGAACTAGAACTGAACTAGAACTGAACTAGAACTAAACTAGAACTAACTAGAACTGAACTAGAACTGAACTAGAACTGAACTAGAACTGAACTAGAACTGAACTAGAACTGAACTAGAACTGAACTAGAACTGAACTAACTGAACTAGAACTGAACTAGAACTGAACTAGAACTGAACTAGAACTGAACTAGAACTGAACTAGAACTGAACTAGAACTGAACTAGAACTGAACTAGAACTGAACTAGAACTGAACTAGAACTGAACTAGAACTGAACTAGAACTGAACTAGAACTGACTAGAACTGAACTAGAACTGAACTAGAACTGAACTAGAACTGAACTAGAACTGAACTAGAACTGAACTAGAACTGAACTAGAACTGAAACTAGACACTGAACTAGAACTGAACTAGAACTGAACTAGAACTGAACTAGAACTGAACTAGAACTGAAACTAGAACTGAACTAGAACTGAACTAGAACTGAACTAGAACTGAACTAGAACTGAACTAGAACTGAACTAGAACTGAACTAGAACTGAACTAGAACTGAACTAGAACTGAACTAGAACTGAACTAGAACTGAACTAAAACTGAACTAGAACTGAACTAGAACGGAACTAGAACTGAACTAGAACTGAACTAGAACTGAACTAGAACTGAACTAGAACTGAACTAGAACTGAACTAGAACTGAAACTAGAACTGAACTAGAACTGAACTAGAACTGAACTAGAACTGAACTAGAGCTGTTATACTGACAATTTTTCTATAGAAAAACTTTTATACTGACAATTTTTCTATAGAAAAACTTTTATACTGACAATTTTTTCTATAGAAAAATTGTTTGCTGAGAATTTAAAAAATAAAATTGTTATTGTTTTTATAAGAAATACTGTTATACTGATAATTTTTCTGAATAAAAATTGTAATACTGACATTTTTTCGATTCAAAAACTGTTATATTGAAAATTTTGTTGCAGAAAAACTATTATACTGAACATTTTTCTATAGAAAACTTTTGTACTTAAAAGTTGTTTATAGAATACCTGTTATATAGACAATTTTTTGTGTGGAAAAACTAATAGACCTCAAACTACTCTGATGAGAAACTGTTGCACTTAAAATTTCTCTATAGAAAACTGTTATACTGTTTATTTTTTCTTTAGGAAAACTGTTATACTGTTTATTTTTCTATAGGAAAACTGTTATACTGTTTATTTTTCTAATAGGAAACTGTTATACTGTATATTTGTCTTAAGAAAATTGTTATAGTGAACAAATTTACTATTGAAAACTGTTATACTGAAAAATTTTTCAATAGAAAAATCTGTTATACTGAACAATTTTTCTATAGAAAAACTGTTATACTGAAAAATATTTAAGAATAATTTTTTAATGAAAACTGTTATACTTAAAATGTTTGTAAAGAAAACTTACTTATATTCCGCAGCTTCATTTTCCAAACTCTGATTATTACCCTCCAGCATAACAGCATCATGCGACAAACTTCTATAATGATCCAACATTTCATCACGTTCTTTTTCCTTTAAGATTAAAACAAAAATAACAAAAAACTATTTCTTAAAATATAAAAAAATTTCAAACAAAACCTTTTGCATTAATAAATCCTCCGCTTTTTTCACTTCCTCCACATATTTTCTCAGCTGTTGTTTCAAACGTTCAATTTCCTTTTCAGAATCTTTAAGTTGTTTTTTCAAAATAACAACTTCAGCCTGGCTATCGGCCAAGTCATTGGTCAGACGTCTGTAAAATTGTAATGAAGAAATTTATGAAATTGTTAGCAAAATAACACTCAAATGAGATAAATTAAATTCATATAAATAAATAAACTAGTTTGCATTTATTTCCTATAGAAAAAAACTTACACATTTTCTTGTATGGCCTGATCTCGACTGGTTTTTAAGGCGGTAAGTTGTTGTTTTAAACTTTTGCTTTCCGTAGAGGTCTCGTGTAGTTCAGAATCACGTTCACGTGTTTGATATTTAAGTTTACTGAAATTATACAATAAAAAACAGAATGTCTTTTAAAAAAGATAACATTTAACAAACAAATTTAAACACAACAACAATGTCTAGTGTAAACAAAAGATTTAAGACACAAACTTGTTTTTCTTATTATTTAATTTTTATGTTTTTTATTTATCTCCTAAACATAAATTATGCAATTTTGATATGCACTCTATTATTATTTATTAATTAGCTAATAAATATTTCATTATTTCTTTTCGCTTTTATTTATTTTGTAACAATTTTGATTCTTTTGACATCATGATACCCTGGCCAGCCTCTGTTTCAAATTACTTATTAAGGGGGGATTATCTTTCCATTTAAAACTCGATATCTTACTACTGCTCTATTGTTGGTTTAATAATAACTCATTATTAATTGTGTGTGTCTGTTGATATTTTGACCAAACCCACAACAATAATAGTTGTGACCAATTTCAATTTGTATTATTAAGCAACAATTGCAGCCAAGTGTTTGAAAGTTGTGGCAATATGTCTGGGTTTTATTGCAGCATAACAATTTGAAAAGGGCTTTGTAATGCACTCTCTTAAACATGCAGACATTTGTTGTTAATTTTTAAAGTAAAATAATATTCTTTCAAACACATTATAGGATTATAAAGAAATAAGGTGGGTATTATTTATCATAACAATTAAACATAATAGAAAGATAAGTTTTCATACAATTTTTTATAAAAAATAATCAAATATTTCTATATATTGAGTAAATTGTACTAGAACTGTACTAAAACAGAACTATAAAAGAACTAGGACAAAACAAGGACAGAACTAGAACAGAAATAGAACAGAACTAGAACAGAACTAGAACAGAACTAGAACAGAACTAGAACAGAACTAGAACAGAACTAGAACAGAACTAGAACAGAACTAGAACAGAACTAGAACAGAACTAGAACAGAACTAGAACTGAACTAGAACAGAACTAGAACAGAACTAGAACAGAACTAGAACAGAACTAGAACAGAACAGAACTAGAACAGAACTAGAACAGAACTAGAACAGAACTAAAACAGAACTAGAACAGAACTAGAACAGAACTAGAACAGAACTAGAACAGAACTAGAACAGAACTAGAACAGAACTAGAACAGAACTAGAACAGAACTAGAACAGAACTAGAACAGAACTAGAACAGAACTAGAACAGAACTAGAACTGAACTAGAACTGAACTAGAACTGAACTAGAACTGAACTAGTACTGAACTAGAACTGAACTAGAACTGAACTAGAACTGAACTAGAACTGAACTAGAACTGAACTAGAACTGAACTAGAACTGAACTAGAACTGAACTAGAACTGAACTAGAACTGAACTAGAACTGAACAAGAACTGAACTAGAACTGAACTAGAACTGAACTAGAACTGAACTAGAACTGAACTAGAACTGAACTAGAACAGAACTAGAACAGAACTAGAACAGAACTAGAACAGAACTAGAACAGAACTAGAACTGAACTAGAACAGAACTAGAACAGAACTAGAACTGAACTACAACTGAACTAGAACAGAACTAGAACAGAATTAGGACAGAACTAGAACAGATGTAGAACAGATGTAGAACAGAACTAGAACAGAACTAGAACTGAACTAGAACTGAACTAGAACTGAACTAGAACTGAACTAGAACTGAACTAGAACTGAACTAGAACTAAACTAGAACTGAACTAGAACTGAACTAGAACTGAACTAGAACTGAACTAGAACTGAAACTAGAACTGAACTAGAACTGAACTAGAACTGAACTAGAACTGAACTAGAACTGAACTAGAACTGAACTAGAACTGAACTAGAACTGAACTAGAACTGAAACTAGAACTGACTAGAACTGAACTAGAACTGAACTACAACTGAACTAGAACTGAACTAGAACTGACTAGAACTGAACTAGAACTGAACTAGAAAACTGACTAGAACTGACTAGAACTGACTAGAACTGAACTAGAACTGAACTAGAACTGAACTAGAACTGAACTAGAACTGAACTAGAACTGAACTAGAACTGAACTAGAACTGAACTAGAACTGAACTAGAACTGAACTAGAACTGAACTAGAACTGAAACTAGAACTGAACTAGAACTGAACTAGAACTGAACTAGAACTGAACTAGAACTGAACTAGAACTGAACTAGAACTGAACTAGAACTGAACTAACAACTGAACTAGAACTGAACTAGAACTGACTAGATCTGAACTAGAACTGAACTAGAACTGAACTAGAACTGAACTAGAACTTACTAGAACTGAACTAGAACTGAACTAGAACTGAACTAGAACTGAACTAGAACTGAACTAGAACTGAACTAGAACTGAACTAGAACTGAACTAGAACTGAACTAGAACTGAACTAGAACTGAACTAGAACTGAACTAGAACTGAACTAGAACTGAACTAGAACTGAACTAGAACTGAACTAGAACTGAACTAGAAACTGAACTAGAACTGAACTAGAACTGAACTAGAACTGAACTAGAACTGAACTAGAACTGAACTAGAACTGAACTAGAACTGAACTAGAACTGAACTAGAACTGAACTAGAACTGAACTAGAACTGAACTAGAACTGAACTAGAACTGAACTAGAACTGAACTAGAACTGAACTGGAACTGAAATAGAACTGAAATAGAACTGAAATAGAATTCAACCAGATCTGATTATAAACTCAACTAGGATTGAATTAGAAGGTAACTGGAACTAAACTAAATGTTTAAGAAACTGAACTTTTGCATTTATCAAAAAGTCAGTTACGAGTTAGAATGGCATAAGAATTGGACAAAAACTGATCGTGATTTGGGATTGAATTGAACTAGAACTAAACTAGTTGATCAAAAGAGTAGTAAAACTGATCTAAATTTGAACTAGAATTAAACTAAAACTGATCAAGAACTGAAGTACAAATGATTTTTCTTTTAATCCACTTATTAAGACTCGTGTTTAAATCTTTATAATTTATTGAAAGTAAAGAAACATTAAGCATACTTTTAATTACCAATCTATAAAAAATATGACATTTCTAAATAAACTTAAACCTCTATAACCTTTTTTGTTGAAAATAACATTTAAAATGATAAACCGCATAAGAAACTACAACTTTTTTTCAACAAAGTTGTTTAGATATTTATTTTGAATGTAAAGGCACACCTTTACTATCTATAATTGCTGAAAATGTCAGTTGTATAAACATTAAAATAAATTATTGAAAAAAAAAAACGAAATATAAATAGACTTGTATTTACTTAACATGTTCTAGTGTTCTTCAAGTCCATTTGTTGAAATATAGACTTTTTTTAAAACGCAACCATGAATCATGCTAAAAAAGAATCAAAAAAAGTACTTGAAACCAAAATTAAAGTCTTTTTTTACATAAAAATAATAATATTCGTGGTTGTATGCAAACCACGTTCTTTTTTTCAACTTTACAATATCCGTCAATGAAATTTTGTTAAGAACAAAAAATGCTGCAGCAAATGCAAAGTGTTCTTAAAAAAAATTATTTATGTGTCTGTTTAAAAGTTTTCCTTTCAATCAAAGACAAGTCATCGTCTCAAGTACTTTTTTCTGTTTAAAGGTAGACGATAGTTGTTGGCAGGCAAAAATAGGAAAAAAAGAAGTAAGAGTGGTTTGGGTTAATGTTTGCCAATATTTTTTTTAATGCAGACATGGATTTACGAGATATTTCTGTTAATTCTTTATAATTTTTCCGTTTTTAATTTAAACATTGATAAAATTAGAAGCCGTTTTATACAGAACCAGAACAGAACGGAACTAGAACAGAAATACAACAGAACTAGAACAGAAGTAGAACAGAACTAGAACAGAAGTAGAACAGTACTAGAACAGTACTATAAAAGAACTATAACAGAACTAGAACAGAACTAGAACTGAACTAGAACAGAACTAGAACAGAACTAGAACAGAACTAGAACAGAACTAGAACAGAACTAGAACAGAACTAGAACAGAACTAGAACTGAACTAGAACAGAACTAGAACTGAACTAGAACAGAACAGAACTAGAACTGAACTAGAACAGAACTAGAAAAGAACTAGAACAGAACTAGAACAGAACTAGAACAGAACTAGAACAGAACTAGAACAGAACTAGAACAGAACTAGAACAGAACTAGAACAGAACTAGAACAGAACTAGAACAGAACTAGAACAGAACTAGAACAGAACTAGAACAGAACTAGAACAGAACTAGAACAGAACTAGAACTAGAACAGAACTAGAACAGAACTAGAACAGAACTAGAACTAGAACAGAACAGAACTAGAACAGAACTAGAACAGAACTAGAACAGAACTAGAACAGAACTAGAACAGAACTAGAACAGAACTAGAACAGAACTAGAACAGAACTAGAACAGAACTAGAACAGAACTAGAACAGAACTAGAACAGAACTAGAACAGAACTAGAACAGAACTAGAACAGAACTAGAACAGAACTAGAACAAAACTAGAACAGTAACTAGAACAGAACTAGAACAGAACAAGAACAGAACAAGAACAGAACAAGAACAGAACAAGAACAGAACAAGAACAGAACAAGAACAGAACAAGAACAGAACAAGAACAGAACAAGAACAGAACAAGAACAGAACAAGAACAGAACAAGAAACAGAACAAGAACAGAACAAGAACAGAACAAGAACAGAACAAGAACAGAACAAGAACAGAACAAGAACAGAACAAGAACAGAACAAGAACAGAACAAGAACAGAACAAGAACAGAACAAGAACAGAACAAGAACAGAACAAGAACAGAACAAGAACAGAACAAGAACAGAACAAGAACAGAACAAGAACAGAACAAGAACAGAACAAGAACAGAACAAGAACAGAACAAGAACAGAACAAGAACAGAACAAGAACAGAACAAGAACAGAACAAGAACAGAACAAGAACAGAACAAGAACAGAACAAGAACAGAACAAGAACAGAACAAGAACAGAACAAGAACAGAA